TATATATATATATATATATCTTTTTTGTAATCGATTAAATTAAGGCTAAACACTTGATCAACAAACGAAGAAAACCATACAGAGGTCCTTATGTCGCAAACTTCTGAAAGATTTTGAGGTAAACTGTTGCGATTTAAAGGTTTTGGGGTGCTATTTTCATTCTTTTGAAATATTTGACACTTCCGATGCAAATTTCCCGAATTTTTTTGCCGTGTTTTATATGCAAGACTTCTCTTCGAGTCATCAAAGTCTGTTTCTGTCCTATTCTAGCTGTTGAAGTCGATCTAGTTGGTTCTCCCAGTATTGCACCTAAAAGATTGGATTTTCTTCGTCTCATAATTTATACAAAGAAGAAGGACCAGTCTCTGGCATCAGATTGAGAAGAAGAATAAAGGTAAAGCCTTGATAGACCAGATTTTGAGTTAGATAATTGGACATTGAATGTGGGATTTTACTCGATTATGCAGTCTGAATTCTTGGTATCAAGTCATAAAAATTTGGTCAAATAATAACTGAGTTATATAAAAAAAAAAACTTGTTGAGCAAGGTTTTTGAGTTATATAACTGAGATTGACATGGGTTCTTTATTTGATTATGCAGCTTAAGGTGTAGTCTTGGTCTCTTCGAAACACATAAAAGATTGGGGTGTTTGGGTAAATTGGAAAGCAAGAAACAGCAGCCTTTCTGGGTCCGATTCAAGGTATAGTCTGGTTAGACAAGATTTCTGAGAAATTCACTTGAAAATTTGAAGGCTCTTTCTGTAATTATGCTTGCCATATCCTGTATTTGTGAATTGAATTTATCTGCTAATCATGAGAGAGATTGAATTAGGGATTGGATTTTGCAAATTTCGTAGCTTGATATGTGATGTAGTTTCATGTAGCATGGCCTTGTAGGGGTGTTAATTCTGTTGTACAATGATCATAGAAGCAAATGTATCAGATAGATTAGGTCGTTGAATTTGCTGAATTTCTGTTAGGTTTATTGTTCATGAGATCCTCGTCTCCCTTTTGTTTGCCCACACACAAAAACAAAGAGGCTGTCTACCAGATAGTCATGTGATTTTATTTGTAGAAATGTGTGAAGAACTTTTGATTTTCTTTTTCTTTTATATGTTGCCACGACGGAAAATATTCTTTTCTTTTAGTGTAGATTCCTGGTATGTTGAGTTTGATTTTAGTGAGAACTCTATGCAAATGAGATTGTTCAATGCTTTATGTTTTAAGTGGTTTGTGTTTTGGGCTGGTTCAGACAAAGTCATAAATTCCACTGTCTTTTAGATTGAATAAACTGCCTGCTAAATGCCTAAATATGTATGCCAAAAGTATATAGACTTGTTGGTGATGAGTTCTTCAAGTATAGATCTCATTCATTTGGTTAATTCTTGCTCATAATAGGTGTTTATTTCTGCCCCTGATATTCAGAGAATAAATTACGAGTTGCTACTGTTTAGAATGCTTTTCTGTTTCTTTCAGTTACTCTGTTCTCTTTTTTCTATTGATGAAATTTAATATGATCTTAGTTAGTAAATTCTTTCTGGAATATTTCATAAGGTAGACTGAATGGTACTTGACAATAATAAGGAAACAAAAGTTCTAAAATTTTATCCAATATACTGTTTAGTGCATAACAAACACGCCTGTAAGTATGTTACTTATTTTCGTGAGCTCTATGTCCACAGTTTCCGTAAGGGGTATTGCAAACTATTTAGGGTCATGAAGTGTTTCCAATTCTACATCGGTAAAAAGAAGGGGGAACTGAAGATGACAACGTTGAATTCTGTTCAGTCCTCTTTTGCTGATCAGGAAGTGAGGCCATCAGGATCTGAATTCAATTCTCAGAATGTTTCAGGTACAAGCACAGAGTCCAGAGGAAGGAGCCAATTTCCAAATTTGTCCGAAAGGCCCAGCAATCTCAAAGTTTTTACATTTTTGGAGCTGAAACAAGCTACAAAAAATTTCAGCCGCTCTGCCAAGCTCGGGGAAGGTGGATTTGGATGTGTGTTTAAAGGCGTGATAAGAGATTCTCAAGATCCAACTAAAAAACTTGACATCGCTGTTAAACAACTCGGTCCAAGAGGGATGCAGGCAGGTTCTCTTTTATTTTAAACTTGTTTTTCTAGTCCTTGCTTGTTCTTTTACATTAGTAAATTGGAATTAACATTATCTGGTACAAATGTGTAAGATCAGATTTCAGCTGATGTTTAGAAAATATATATAAGGAACATGCACAAAAATGGAGATTCTCTGAAGTTTCTTCTTCTTCTTATTATTATTGTTATTATATATATATATATATATATATTATTTATTTATTTATTTTATTTTATTTTATTTTTTATTTTTTTTAAGGCAACACTACTAGAACGTGTGAGCACGATCCAACTTGGGAAAAGAAGCAAACATGTTAATAAAACTAGACCTTTTCAAGAGGCTCATAAATAAACTGGAGATTGCACTTTTGCTGACATTTTTAATTTGTATTTCCTTAACATGAGTTGGGCTATGAAAATCTATTTTACTTCTTATTATGCCGAATGTTGGAGAAACTTTCATTCTTGTTTGTGGTTGGTTACTTTTCTTATATTAGAATTCTCATCGTTAATTGAACTCTGAAATGATTTCTCATAGTTGGAGAGAAGAATCCTTTTCTAACAAATTATTCATGGCTTTACATAATAGGGTCATAAAGAATGGGTGACAGAAGTTAATGTTCTTGGTGTTGTTGAACATCCAAATCTCGTGAAGCTCATTGGCTATTGTGCTGAAGATGATGAAAGAGGAATCCAGCGGCTTCTGATATATGAATATATGCCTAACAGAAGTGTAGAAGATCATTTATCAACTAAGTCAGAGATACCTCTCTCTTGGGATAGGAGGCTGAAGATAGCCCAAGATGCAGCTCGTGGCTTAGCGTACCTGCACGAGGAAATGGATTTTCAGGTCACCTATTCGTTTATTGAATGTTAATTGGTCTTGTTCCCCACTTATCCTTTCATAACTAGCATGTTAGATTTATTTTTCTTTGTTGTTCTGGATGTTATTGGCATGTTTGGTAAGTTAATTGGAGAGTAGTGAACATTATTATGGAAGAAAAGGAAGATAAAATCTTGTGTGAATTCAATTATCCATTTGTATCCATATTGCATACCAAACATATCCTATATTCATTAAAGGCAGGCATAAAATCATATGAACTTGAATGTGTCCAATGAAATGTTATACTCTTGTATTCTCATGCATTATGACTGATGTTTCTCATGTTCTAATTTCTATACATTGTAGATCATCTTCCGAGATTTCAAATCTTCAAACATTCTCCTAGACGAGCAATGGAATGCTAAGTTATCAGACTTCGGATTGGCTCGTTTGGGCCCTGCAGAAGGACTGAGTCACGTATCAACTGCGGTATGCTTACTTTACATTATGGTTATTGTCTCCTTCGTTTGTGTTATTTGAGATGTAATTCTCTTATTCTAAAACATTCAAACTATAACACTCGGGATAAAGTTCTGATTCAAATCTCCCAATTAACAAAACACTGAAAAACTGTCTTCTATTTTCTTATTGAAACAAATAACGCGTGACATATGAAAAAGGGCCTTACTTAGATCTTTGGTCAGTGTTCTGTTAGGAATCTAACCAGAGTTTGAGAAGCTGCTTTAGAAGAACAGAAAATAAGTAATGACTGTGTATATTGAATATAAAGACCAAACACGATTACGGATAAAGAAAGGAAACTATAAAGAAAGACTATTCTCTCTAACACTCCACTCTCTTCTATTCTTTTCATATCCCTGTTGGTTACTCCCTGTCCTCTTATATAGGCTGTAAGTAACTGAATTCTGTATGGCTCCATTCTGTTATTCTGCTTTGTTACTTCCTGCCATTAGACCACTAGGCTTCTTAGCTCTTCTGGAATAAGTGTGTGTAATTAGGGGTTGGTGGCCTATCATAACCTGCGGCCACCACAGACACCTTGTCCTCAAGGTGGAAAAGAGGAAAGTGGTGGATGATTCAGGCCACAGTCTCCCAGGAAGCCTCGGAGTCGGGAAGACATTTCCATTGGATCAAAGCTTTGTGTCCTGAATGACACACTCCTCAAACTTTCTCTGGTTCCACCACCCATTCCAAAGTTGTAGTTAAGTGTGGAGGGAGCTGTTGGCTAGCTTTAGATGGACCAAGTGCTTTTCTTAGTTGGAGCAACTATGGGTGCCTTAAGCTCATCTAAAATGACATCTTGATCACTTAATTGCTGTTCCACTGCAGACACATTTTTAGACTGGGATTTGTAGCGGAGCAAGGCAGGAGGGTCTCACCTTTTAAACTGCTCAACAAGGGAGGTATTTGTAGAAGAATGGTATGTAGTGTTGTACCAATATTTTGCACAAAGCAGCCAATTGCTCCAACGTCGCGGCTTGTCATATCCAAAGCATCTTAAATTTGTCTCCACATAGCGATTTACAACCTATGTCTACCTGTCGATCTGCGGGTAGTATGTTGTACTTCGGTGAAAATAGGTGCCTTGCAGCCGAAAGAGCTCCTTCCAAAACTGACTAAGGAAAATTTGTCCTGTTCAAAGATAATGGAATGCAGAATTCCATGATGGTTTACTACTTCCCTGATGAAGGTAGCTGCAATGCCGGCTGCCATGTTGGTATTTTAGGGCTAAGAAATGGCCGTACTTACTCAAGCAATTCACCACCACCAAAATTGAATCGAAACCTCCTGATTTAGGAAGCCCTTCAATGAAGTCCATCAAGATGTCCTCCCAAATCAATTGAGGAATAGGTAACAGTTGTAGGAGGCCAGCAGGAGAAAGTGCAAGGCTTTTATTTCCGTGACAAATTGGACATTCTTCGACCAATAGTTTGATATCACTCTTCAGTCCTGTTCAATACAGATTGTTGGTCAGCCGTTTCTAAGTTTGAAGGAACCTTGAATGGCCTCCTATCATGCTACTGTGAAATTCATGCAACAATATTGAAATCAAAGGAGAATGTGAAAACTCCAACCACCCCTTGTAAAGTAGGCTGCCCTGTACCAACGCATAATGGGAGTGGAGTCTGGGAGAGCTTGGAGGTGATTCTTGAGCTTTGAGAGCAAGGGATCGGAATCCACCTGGCCAGCACTGATTTTACATCCAAAACTCTTAGGAAAGTGAGGCAGAGAGTTCAATAGGAAGGAAAACCCGTGATAATGCATCTGCAGCCTTGTTTTCCAACCCCGGCTGGTATTGAATATCAAAATATACCCCAACAGCTTCGTCAGCCAACGTTGGAACTCGCCCTGAATGACCCATTGCTCTAAGAGATATTTCAAACTCTGTTGGTCGGTACATGCAATGAACTGATGTCCGACATAATATCTCCATTTTTGAATGGCTAGTGCAATGGCCATTAACTCTCTCATAGACTGACTACAGGTGGGACTTAGTCGAGAGTACTTGGCTGAAATATGCAATAGGTTGCTGACTGATCATAAAGACTGCCCCAATAACATGGCCTAATGCATCTCCCTCGATGACGAAAGGCTGGGAAAAATCAAGAAGTGCCAAAACTGGCACTGAAATCATAGCCTGATTCAACTGTTGGAAGGCTCTCTTGGCCTTGGGTGTCCAACCAAATGCATCCTTCTCCAGTTGTTGTGTGAGAGCCTACGAAATTTCCCCATATCTTGCCAAAAACCTCCTGTAGTATCTAGTAAGACCTGAAATCCTACAGAGTTCTCGAAGATTTTGAGGAGTAGGCCGTTGTTCCATGGCTGCAATCTTGTTCAGGTCAGCTGTCACCCCTTTTTGACACTAAATGCCCCAAGTATTTAATCTGTGACTGAGTGAATAAGCACATTTTGGCATTGGCAGAAAGTTGTTGTGTTGCTAATGCCTCGAATACTGTGTCTAAATGTTGTTCATGCGATGTGGAGTCTTTACTGCAGACCCAAATATTATTTAAAAAAAAAATACTAACACTAACTTTCTCAAGTAATGCCGGAAAACTTGGTTCATTAGCGATTGAAATGTGGCAGGTGCTTTCGTTAGGTCGAATGGCATGACAAGGAACTCATAATGCCCTTCATGTGTACGAAACGCAATCTTGTCCACGTCTTCCTTGCACACCCTGATTCGATGGTACACAGACTTCAAGTCCAATTTAGAGAAAATTGTATCCTCGTGGAGTTGATCAAGAAACTTGTCAATAACTGGAATGCGGAACTTATCCGGTATCGTGACTATTTAAAGCTACGTAATCAATGCAAAAATGCTAGCTGCTCTTTCTTTTTAACTAATAAAATTGGGCTGGAAAAAAGGGTTTACACTAGGTTGGACGATTTCGACAGCTAACATCTCCTTCACCAACTGTTCAATTTCAATTTTTTTGAAAGTGGGGATAACGGTAAGGCTTCATGCTAACTGGTTCTGCCCCCTCTTGTAAGCAAATGACATGATTTGTGTCGTGGCTCAGTGGCAGGGTCCCCAAAGGTTCAAAAATCTGCTGATGATGTTGCAGTACCTGCTGCACCTGGGCAGATTATCATCACTCTGCCATTCGTAAGTAGCTGCAGCCATGCTCCCTAACTCCACCCACACCCCTGACCTTCCTGTCATAAGGTTTTCATCATCGTTTTGAGGGACACGCCTGCCTTGTTAAGCTCCAGATCTCCCTTGAAAGTTCTTACTGTTTCGTCGATTTGGAACTTCATGGTTAAAAGCTTCCAATTAATCTCCATATTCCCTAAAGCACCCAGCCATCGCATACCCAATATCACATTAGTACTGCGTAGTTCTGGAGGCAAAAAAATTTCTACTATTGTCATCCTTTGTACTTCCAGCACAACCCCCCTTTACAGATTCCTTTTCCTTTTACAGATAACCCCATGCCTATGACCACCCCGTAGTGTGTAATTGCTGTAATCGGAATCTACAATTGGCGAATCAATTCTAAGGACAAGAAATTGTGAGTTGCCCCACAATCCACTAATACAACCGCTTCCTTTGAACCCACTGCTCCCCTTAATTTCATTGTACCCAGGGTTGTCAATCCGACCATTGAATTGAGCGAGAACACCTGATCTGCTCTCTCCAACGGCAAGCAGTCTGCCGACATCTGTCCTTCGATTTCCTCGGTTACTTCTTCTTGCACCAATAGAACTTTTAGTTCTCGATTCTTGCACTGGTGACTCAAATGTTTTTTTTTTCATCACACCGAAAACAGAGCTCCTTCTCTCGTCGTGCCTGCCACTCTGCATCAAACATTCATTTGACAGAAAAGTCTCTGCATTAGATCTTAGGCTTCTCCCACACTATGATAGACCTTGTAGGAAAGGTATCGCCTCCCTTTGAAGCCCAACGGCTTGGTTTAATTATGGCCTTATTGTACTTGGGCTCTATTGAGTCGGGGGCTGCTGTAATCACTTAGTTTGTATCTTTCACTCTTTGAGCCACTTCCATGATTTGGCCATCTCAGCCCTAATATTATCTTTCAGCCTATTTACAAAAGTACTTTCCATTACCTCCTCCAGTTATCCAATTAACGGCGCTGCTAACATTTTGAAAACTCGTCTGAATTCAGCCACGGTGCCTCTTGCTGGACAGCCGAAATTTTAGTACAGAGGTTCCCTTCTTGGGTGGTCGAAAATGGATCACTGGTTGACCCCTACTGAAATGGTTTCCTTGCTTCTGCCCATTGCAGCCATGAAAGAGCTTAGCCGTCCAAGCTTACTTTGACTGCACTTAGTTTCTAAGTTTTTGTCGGGCCATTAATTCAAAGTACCTTTCTGTGCGATACAGCCAACCATCTGGGTTTTCCTCTCTAAACACAGGCAACTCCAATTTCTGGACTCTCCGCCAGTCACTTAACTCCTTAGTTTGACCGGTGTTAATTGTTTCTCCACCATAACTAGCTTCGCTCGATATTGCAGACAACTTCCCACTTTCCCATGTTCGCCTACTGCTCATGGATCCATGCTGACCATTGACAGGCTCCTCCAAAATGCTTGCAGACCTTTCTAGATTTTTCTTTAATATACTGCCTTAGGTAGGGCTAGAGCCGGTACGGCCTTTTCAGTGGCCTCCATAGTTTTCATCGTTCTAGCCATACTTCGTGCTGACTGCTCCACTGAATGTTCCGGTTTTGGCAGGCGCTGCAACTCAATTTTCAAATCCATCATCTCCTTTTCTATTACCTTTACTCTACTCTCCGTTTCTTCTGTGCCATCAGGATCTTCATGCTCTGATACAAATTGTTAGGAATCTAACCAGAGTTTGAGAAGCTACTTTAGAAGAACACAGAAAATAATTACTGAACATGTATATTGAATATAAAGATCCAACATGATTACAGATAAAGAAAGGATACTATAAAGAAAGACTATTCTGTCTAACACTCCACTCTTTTCTATTCTCTTTATATCCCTCTTGGTTCCTCCCTGTCCTCTTATAAAGGTTGTTAGTAACTGAATTCTGTTTGGCTCCATTCTGTTATTCTGCTTTGCTACTTCCTGCCATTAGACCACTAGGCTTCTTAACCAGTTGAATAAGTGTGTGAAATTGAGGGCCTATCATTTTCATATATTATGTTGTGGGTTCTTTTTGACACATCAATTGGTGTATTTCTTCTATTGTCTGACCTAACAATATGGTAGAATGGCATTGACTATTTATTATTAAACCCAATTCGTTGTAATGAAAATATTTTAAATTATTAGCTATATTGCATTACCTACTTCTAATGTGAATACTCAGAATTTGCAAAATTTAATCTAGTTCATGGTTGCTTGTATATAAGGTTCGTGCAGTATTCATGGCATGTACATTTTCTTCCTAATGCAATGGGCCTTGCAAGGCTGGTTAAGGAACGCTAATTACAGCTCTTAACTCAACAAATACTAATAGGTTCTTGTCAAGTGTTGTGTCCTGGAACATTATGTTTTTCTTGTACTTCTTGATGCTATGGACGCACGTATTATCAACAACAAAGCCAGCCTTGTTCTGAATTAACTTGAAATCGAATATATAAATACTTTTATCACTCCGTTTGATGAACTGCTGCATCCATTTAGTTGCAATTATCCACATTATTCCATGTCATATTGTTATCTCTTTTATATGCCATTGCCTTCCTCCAATGCTCCGTCATTAGTATTTCACATTGTAGGTTCCACCATCTTGTTCTACGAACTCATCTTTGGCATTTTCCCCATTTCTTATAACTGTACCAAGATCACAAATGGGATACTTAAAGACTCGCAAATGCCTCTTGCGATTATGTCAAACTATTATCTTACTGTTTAGATTTTACCTTTTCATCGCATATTCATCTAATATCTCTATCCGATCATTAGTATTTCACGTTGTAGGTTCCACCATCTTGTTCTATGCACTCGTACATCTTTGGCATTTTTCCCATTTCTTATAACTGCACCAAGGATCACAGATGGGATAGTTAGACTCTCAAATATCTCTTGCAATTATGTCAAACTATTTTCTTATTGTTTTGATTTTACTTCTTCATTGCATATTTGTCTAATATCTCTTATCTGATCAGGTTGTTGGAACAATGGGATATGCAGCTCCTGAGTATGTTCAAACTGGTCGTCTCACATCCAAGAGTGATGTGTGGAGCTATGGTGTCTTTCTTTTCGAGCTAATTACAGGTAGGCGCCCCTTGGATCGAAATCGCCCCAGAAAGGAGCAAAAACTCTTAGAATGGATAAGACCATACTTATCAGATGCTAAGAAGTTTCAGCAAATATTAGACCCAAGACTTGACTGGAAGCATTTCCACAATTCAGCCCAGAAGCTGTCGATTGTAGCCAACCGCTGCTTGGCCAGACATCGAAAAGCACGCCCAAATATGAGCGAAGTTTTGGAAATGGTGAATAAAGTAGTGGAGGCATCGACTGGGGTAGGCAATCCACAGACTCCTTTGAAACGTAGAGAGCGAAGGCCAACTCCTGGGGAAACTAAAGCTCAAGATAAAAGGAGACTCATTCATAAGAAAATTGGCGCCAGAGGTTGACTCATTTCGATGTGCTCATGAAACCCTGTAAAGACCTGATTCTGAAGGATCAAGAGTGTAAATACCGAATTATTTTTGGTGTATGCACAAAAAATGCTGTTGTACAAGGTGATGACATTTTTTACATCAAACAGAGGGTAATGAGCGGTTAACGTTAGCTTTGATCTTCTGCCAAAATTATTACGGAGTTTTCTTCTTGGGCTTTACAGCAAACTCGAGAAACGGAGAAATGTAGACTATTGCTGCAGAAGCTCTGTGTGAAGTGATGGTAATTAGCTTGTAGCTTTTGATGATAATCAGAGAGTCAAGAATTGTGTTTTATCTTTTTTTCTGCAGATTTTACAAAACTTGAATAGATAGAAACTACATAACAGTGTTATATAGATATATGATTTAATATTTAAGTAGGGAGTGTATGAGTTTATTTATTGTGCCAGTTATTGACTTTTAATAAAGATCTAGACCTCTTCAATATCAAGTATCATGCCACTATCAGCATTAGAAAACAAGCTAAAGCAAGGATATTTTGGAAACTACTGTTTTCTTGTTTTTTCTGATATTATTTTATAAAATGAGGAAATTTGTTTAATTTATTCTTGGACCACAATGCCTACATTTTAATTTTTAAATTTGGGTCGTGCTTAGTGTATATAAAAAATGTATGTTGAACGTGTATTGAGCTTCAAAGCTTGCCTAGGCTCAGTTTCTACCAACTTCTAGCACTACAACTCGACAACACCGATCCAAGACAATAACCAAGCTTCTACTTCCGGTTGTGAATAAGTTAATTCACTCAGAAGACCACAAAGGTGCAAAATATCTCATATAATATCACCACCAAAGTAGAAATTACAAAGAGGCAGAAAGAGTAGATGAAGAAATCACGCAGACCAACTGAAGAAAGAGGTAGAGAAGACGTCTCTCACTTAGAGAGAAAAGAGAGAGAGACCCATTTATCTAGTAACAATTGGCCCAAATATGGTAAGTGTAGGTAGGTTAACAAATGGGTCAAAGTAGAGGGCCAAAAGATAGGTAAATTGGTTCATAGGTAATCTCTCTCAATTATGACCATCCAAGGAAGCGGATTGGGCCACGGCAACACTAAAATATTTAGGTTGTTTCGAGTGACCCAATTAACCTTTGGGTTGTATCGTCTTGATTGTGGTGTTAAATTCCAGTTATTTGACTAAGCCGATTGAAAAATAAAATCGAGTAACATCCTAGCTCGGTAAAGATAGTTTGATAACAAATTGCCTAACAATGTATATAAGGGCGTCCACACCTCTCACATGAGCTGGGACCTACCGGGCTCCACCCCATCCCATGTGAGGGGTGTCCCTATGTACATTTTTTTTATGTGTTCTAAGATTTATCCTTTAAATTTTTCATTCTAAAGTTGGGCCCATAACCTGCCCATTTGTCTTTTCTTGGATTCGACATGATTCTTCTAGACTCGAAATGATTCAAGTTGAGTAACATATTATTTAAAGTAATTTCTACATATTAAATATGGAATAATGAAGTAAGAGAGACTATTTCTAGTGTGTGTCATCACAAAGATAAGAATATCTATCAATTATATTTTTCTTCCTTAAAGGTAAAAGTAGGCAAGGATGTCTATAGAGCAGGACGACTCTCCATGTTCTTGTCCCCATTGCGCTTGAGATTTTGGAAAGGCAGGATATTATTAAAATACCATAAAAGTACGTGCTAAAAGTAGAAGTCTACAAAAATAGTAAACTAAGTTGCTCCTTTCCATTGGCTTCAACTAATGTTTAAGGGGTGCCTTCAATCGAGATTTTGATGTAATTTAAAAGATTGTCAGTTTTAGTGAATTCGAATAGATTTTTAGAAAATTCTATCTCATTGAAAATGATAGAATTAAAAGAGTTTGTTATATCATATATGAATTTTTAAGTTTTACATGCATCCAAGTATTTTAAAATCCATTTATTGATTAAATTCTTATAAATCCACAATTTATTGAAAGTACCTAAATTTTAAAGATTTTTATTGAAATTCATTAAAATCTGAATTGATAACACTTGAATTTAGAATTTTTTTAAATACATTAAAATCTGAGTTAAGGGCACCTCCCATAAATTATTGAAGTAATTACAAAAAATAAATAAATAAATGTCTATTGTGCAAATGATTTCATTCATCCAAAGACATTCTTATTGTATTTGAAACATGTTGCATATTTGCTATCAACTTATGCTTTGTTGAAATGAAAATTCGGTCACGAATATGTTTTAGCTTATGTTTTCCTATAAATTAGTTATTTAACCTATTTTTTCGTTAAATTTAAATGACATTGTAGCATATATACACCACCTAACATAGCACCGTAATACTATATAAATTATATAATAGTCAATAAATTGTGAAAAATCATCAATAGCAATGTCACACATTATGTAACATTTATAGCAACAAATATTTTAATAGATAATGCATCATATTTAACACATGAATGCAACTACAGATTTTGAATTATCATAAACTACTCGTCTTTTTTGTTTTTTATTCTTTTTTTTTTCCGGTATATCACATAGTCCATTATATTACATTTTTAACAAAAAAAGTTTCATAAGAAATGTGTTACATGTAATCGTAATGACAATCACATATGGATAAAAGAGACAGCTTAAACTTTGTAACACATTATAGATCATTTACAGCAGCCCAACATCTTATAATAAATCATGTGAAATTCCAAAATACTGAGATAAACATATCATGGTATACACTAACTTTTCATATGTCATAGTACATGTTATATTGCTGTATTTAGAGTAATAGATTGAAGGTAACCAATATTTTATATTTAGACTTTTTAACTGTATACAATCACAAATAACACATATAAATGTATTAGCCCATACGACATGTAACACATGTTTGAAACTATATTTCAAATTGCACAAAGAAGGTTTTTATACAATTCCTCAAATACCTGATTGTACAATGTATTATCATGCGATGTAAGAAAAGTTCGAGTCAATTGTAATCAAATAATGGAATGTACCAACGAAAACAAAAATCATAGATTTCGAAATAATACCTCCAAATTATGAAAATAAAATAAAATAGAGATACGACACTAATAAGGTCATATCAAATCAAGTAAAAAAGGCCAAAAAAAAAAAAAGTATAGACGGTAATGTATCATGATTCCATGAATCATGGAGGTAATTAGTGTCAATTAAATATGATCTTTTTTTTTTAAAGTATTAAATATGATATTTAGTTGATGACTTTTGAGGAATTGTAATAAATTGTATTGTATTTTAATTAGAGTTAATTACCAAAAATAGTGCCATTACGTTAAAGTAGTAGTTTTGAGATATTTAATTACAATAGGAAGTAATTTGAGAATCAGAAAGATGTAATAGTAATTCTGGAATTTTATTTTGTCATTGGGTTATATACCAAAATTTCCCTAAATTATTTCCGTTTCTCAATCGAATTGGGTTTAATATGGATTGGGCTAAAGAAATAGGAGAATGAAAACTTAATTATTGAAAATCCCAAGGGCATAATAGCCAATCAAGAATACCAACCTGGAAACAAGCCAAACCTCGTTCATTGATTATGGGTTTATCGCATTATTCTAAATGTATTCGCATCTACTCATATATGCTCGATGCATTTATGAAACGTCTCACATATGAAGTATGCGCAAGTTAATGAGGTTAACCCATTTCGTTGACTGCAAATGCATGCTTAAAAAATTGTGTTAAAATTAGCCCAACAAAGTCTAACCGATTTTTATAATTTAAAAAAAGTAAATTGAGCACCAAAAAATCAAATTAACCCAAATAACCTAAGCCCATGGATTATATATAGCAATTTGTATGGTTTTGATATTAAAAAAAAAAAAAAATTAAAAATCAAAGTAAGTTTTTCGTTGAGTTGCAAACTATATACGCTGAGCTCAAGCTTCTTCCTTCCTCGGTCTTTCTCTAGTCTTATTAGCAAATGATGCTAAAACTCTTGAATTGTTGATCGTTGTGATGAGGAGGAGAAGGTTAATAATGATCCTACAATCTATAAGAGGTAATAGAAATTTTTGAGTTGTAATAAGGGAGCCGATAGAGATGATTTTACATCGGATCACAAGGAAGATGACTTGGATGAAGAAGTGTTTGAATTGGACCCTGATAAAGAGTTAAACAATATTTAGAATTTTTTAAAGCCATGTTCGTGTTTAATTTAATTGTAGGAATTGATTGCCAAGTAATTTAGTATTTATAAATTATATTTTTGTTAAAAATTTGAAGAATATTTATAAATTTCAAGTAATTGTAGTATTTATGATTTTCAACAATATTTATTTATTTATATTGAAAATTTGAAGAATATGTATAAAGTTTAAAGAATCCGTTATTTTATTTATGTATTAGCTTAAAATATTTAAAATAATAATAAAAATTGAAAAAAGCATAGTTATGCATATGCTTCGCATAGGTATGCATATTCTAATGCTTGATGCTCGATTGAAACACATTTTCATGCATTACACATTTTATAACATTGGTTTATTGACAGTTTGATTCTTGTATATATTGTCACTGGCACCTTCAAACTCCCAATTTTCCCTTCTAATATTCCTTCACATTTTCAATCTGCAAAGAACTTGATGAAATGCACACAAATTATCATACAATAGAATAATGAAAAGACTGTTTTCTATTTAATTGTCATTTTTTTCGCAACACGAGAACCCAATTATATGTATATTTGTGTAATGGAGAAAGGAAGGAGCTTGGTTTCTTCAACTTCCTTATTGCTTTAATTTTTGTTTAGAAATTAATTTCTAAAGAGTTTCATATTTCGAAAATACATTTAGTGGAAGTAACATTGGACTAACTTTATTCGAAAGTTCTTTTAACTAGAAAAAACACTTTTATGAAATTAGATTAACATGTCTAAGCTTAAAAGATATTCTGAAGTAACTTTTTTTTCCCAAGAAAGTATAATCAACTTTAGTACAAAAACTTATCTTTTCAAAAGTAAAGATCATGTTCGGCTAAGTTTAAAAAGTTTACTTATAATTATATATATATATATATATATATTAATGATAAAGTTGGAAATAAGTTAGTTACTTATTGAGAGCGAGGTGAGAGTTGCTCTTAGGGAATGTGAATTTTATTACCAAAAATAACGGGAAAAAATTTCAAAATGTGTTTGTTGTTTAGAAACAAATACATACTCTTGTAGGCAAAGATGCTCAAGTCTTTACTTACTTTTCATAAAAAGCACTTTTATCTTTTACTTTATTTCATTATTATCTTTTTGAGAGGGTTGGGGTTTAGCCAAATATACTCTAATTGTGTTTTTGCCCTTAAACCAATTATACAAAACAAGGGTGCTTGGCCAACTTTTATGTCCTTACAACAGAAGGCATTTTATTTGTTGGTGGGTGGTTGGATGTCTATTGCAAGAAGGAAACATCTTATGCCTACTGGTGGATAAGGCAAGCCGTAAGGAAAGCCATATTTCAACATTCCAGGACGATACGTTTGCTAATAATTATGCTCTCTTATAGTATAGAAACATTCCGTCCAACGTAAAACTGTATTTCAATTCGTTTATCGTTTTGGACATTTATCGTTTCTCACATTTTCCTAATGTCCTTCTCAAATAAATTTCCAACAATGTATGTATTTCTTGAAAATGTTCAGTTGCACAAATTGATATTGCAGGAGAATGTGTATGGACTATTGTCCAAAGTGAAAGAAGCAAAAAGATTATGCATTCATAAAGGTAATCATCATCCAGTGAAAGAGGAAATAGCAGCAACTGCAAGAATCACAGTTTATAAACTTGATCAATTGCTATTTACGGCAAGAATGCCTCTGTCGATGCAACAGCCTGTATAGATGGACCAAGATACCACCTTTCAGGTACACTCTTCTTATTCATTTCGTGTTTCCAATTGGTAAAGCCTCAAAATCGTAGTATCAGTCTGACAGAGTCAAAACACAAATTTTGCTGTTGTGAATTAAGATCTTAATTCCAATCACGAAAGCAATATTAAGCAAAATGAAATTATACACACATATGCACTCACAGATTTATAGTGAATCACACTCGATGTGAGAGTTATGTCCACTCGATGTTGCATGCTTTTCACTCTATAAACAATGAGGATTATAATATTTAGAATATTACGTGGATCCATATTTGAACAAAAATGTGTAGTGTACAATTAAGCTCCACATAATCCAACATTCTCAGGTATTTCAGTAGTTAATTAAAGGACATCGATATAATTGCAGGAGATCACTGCAGACACCACATGAATCGAGGTCCCTGGTGTAAGTGTCGCAAAGCAGCTGATGAGACAACACATCCGCAATCTCTTGAGCATTCTGAGTCCTATAGAGACGAAGATAATTCGTCTGAGATTTGGTAATGAAGATGATAAAAAGAAATCATTATCTGAAATTGGTACCATTTTTGGGTTATTCAAGGAGAGAGTTCGACAACTGTTGAGTAGGGCGCTGTACAAGCTGAAGCAGTGTCTTGACAGCCAAGGACTAGGCGCATATGCAGATATGATCACTTAAAACTTGATTCCGTCGTTACATTTTACTGTATGTTAAAAGCAAATAGTGCACTTTGAATGACAATGGTGATGAATGCAACTGAATCGAATGCATATAAGACTGCGCGAGCAACACACGAAGTGCTTGTGCTTTACATGTTCCACATAGCAAGAAAATTAGTGAGGGTTAGCTGTACTGCAGTCTTTAACTTGAATTTCACAATGTATACCAGCATAACGTAAATTGAGATTTAAAGTTGAATAACATAAAACATGACTAATTTAATTGAAGAAAATATACAAATAAGTAAATATTCGCTTAATAGCATAATCTTTTAGTTGAGTTGGTTCTATTCCTATGATAACAGGATCAGATGGAAGATTAGGTTCAATTTTTGTTGCTTTGACGGGTCATGCCTTTGATTGAACACGTAAAGTGATGCCTGGGAGACAGCATTGAAAGAAATAAGTGTCCCTAGTTTTCACATGAATTAATTCACATTGTTGTTCATCTAACCATGCGTTGGTTTTTACAAGCATTGAAGTTGAACCGTAAATCTAATTTTTTCCTATTACTTTTGTTCATTTCTGATGTAGGTACAACCTGCACAATCAAGTCACTATAACAATATTCCAAATTCTCGCACAGTAATGTTGAGAATTAGAAACCTTAATTCTATTTTACCAACAGCAATCAAATATAAGAAATAAATAAAGATGCATAAGATGTATAGAAGTTCGATTCAATGCGAAACTAAACCATTTTTCGCCACTGCAATAATTCACTATGATGAAAAGAAATTCGCAAAATAAAATCGCACAAGTAAGATTGAACCTGTACTAACTCAATGGAGCATCAATAATTAGCACTACAACTTAAAAATCTCCTACTTGGAGACTAATCCACCATCAATGGCTCCTTTGCAGTGACAATAATTCCTCAATCTTCAAAAGAGAAGTCCAACTGAAATCGCACACAACTTCAATTTCTCAATGGGAATAGTCTTCTTCTACATGCCGTCGAATTTTGACTCCCTTAAAACTTCTATGTGTTAGGATTTCATCCTCCAAAGCCGATCTGATGGAGTGATAACAAACCTGTGTATGATTTGTTCTTGCAGGATAAACTTGATAATTTACTAAATGAATAGCACCGTGTCTGTCACAATGCAACACACTCTTTCCATGCTTGCGAGCCAATTCTTTCAAAGATTGCAACCATTCATCTTTTTGCTAACTTCGATCATAGCAACACACAACCTCATTAGTGGAGAGAACAATTATCTTCTGCAGCTTAGACACTCAACTCATCACCCGAAGTATATACATATACAGTAGTACTCTTTCCGCCATCAATATCCTTTGCCATATCAGCCTACACAACCTAGTAATCCTAAATTCAATTTTGTGAAATATAAGGCTAAATTTGAAGTACCTCTCAAGTACATGAGAATTCACTTTACTGTCCCCCAATGCTATTTATCAGGATTGTTCATATATCCACCCTCAACTCTCATGAATGTTCTATCTCTGATCTCGTACACACCATGACATGCATAAGACTACATATAGCAGAGGCAAAAGGCACCTTGACCATGTAAATTCACTCTTGTTCTATAAAGGTTGACTGCTCATTGGAAAGCCTAAAATGACTAGCTAAACGCTCACAAGTTTTGCACCATCCATCATGAACCTGTTTAGCACATTCTTTACATAATACCTGATAGTGAAATAACACAGAAAAATTAAATACAAAGAGATAAAATAGGCCCTGCTAGAATCCCCAGAGGATCCGGCCACCCGTGGACTCTAGTCGAGTGTAGATCCTCACACGATCAATAGCATTCCATTTATTTCATACTAATATTTTGTAGGGTTCAATACTCATCTAGGAGGCACTGATCTTATCCAAGAAAAATTCTTTTAATGTAGTGAGAAATGAAAACAATTGAAAAATATCATAATAGACAATCAAAACTCATTGATTTTTACGAATGTTAGAAAGACGGTTATTAATTATTAATTCATAATTAAATATCGAATAATTGATTTTGATCCATAAATCTTTAATTCTATGAGATGTAAGTTTGGAATCAAGAAATTAGAGAAACCTCACAATTTTATTAATTTAATCAAATTCAAGCTAATACATTAGGTAGCCGCAGCAACTCCTAATATCTAATGTTTAACCTAATTAAAATTCTATTAAGTCCTAAACTCCTAATGAGCGATAATTTAGATCCTAATTAAGCATCTGTTTGATTTTGTTAAAAATCAATTTTCAGTCGATTGTAATAAAAGTTAATGAATTGTGTAGTTGAAATTTTTTAACTTTCATGGAATAAGTTATTAAAATTAATTGTAAACTTTGACTTAATAACTCCCTAGAATATATTCAAGAGTCTCTATTTTTAAAGAGTATATTCTTTAATTTAGAGAACATATATAAATTTAGAGAGTAAATATTTTTAAATACTCCAATAGGCTCTTTATATTTAATACTTAATTTACGATTCCAAAATATATTTATTGTTTTTCTATATTTTTTATTTTAACTAACTTCCCTCCAAATTATTATATCATTTTCCTCCATTAAAAATTGAAATACTTTAAATGCATTTAATTATAGTGAGTGGGTTTTGGCTCTTCAAATTCAAATGTTATTATTCAAATTTGAAGAGCCAAACTTAATTTCTAAATTAAAATGTTAATTTAAAGAATCTTTTGAAGCATAATTTTAAAGGTCTGACTCTTTAAAATAGAGATGATCATATCTTTTAAAGAGTTTCTTGGAGATATATTAATTTGATCGTAGTTAAATTAAAGTGCCATAATTGAAAGTAAAGAAGTAAAACCATCGCAAGACCTTAGCCTTCTTCCTTAGGTTGCATCATTCTTCTTGAATTGGAGAAGATCTTTTGAATTGGACGATGTATCTTTAACCAATGTCTTGTAATGCAAACAATTCTCACGATAAGTCGATGGTTTGAAGGGAGTGAGTTCAAACATTTGGGTATGGAGAAGAACCTTTCTCCCTAATCCCCACTTGGAAGTAGGGGATTCATGGGTACTGATTAGATTGAATCAGAATCGACCGATCTTGTACCTGTTCTAAAAGAAATAATGTTTTCAGTACTATGTAACAAGAACCAATCAGTTCTACTTTGATTCTTGGTGCTCGTTGTAGAACAAAAATACTTCTGTTTCCATTTTATTTCTTTAATTATGTAATTTTATATGATTGAGAAAAATTAACTTGAACAGAAAGAATAAGGGTAGAATTTATAGATTGTTGAATGAAAATGCTTGAAAGGGAATCGTCTTAGCACTGTATTAGCAAGTTTGATGTGCCAGACTGACCTAAGATCCCTTTCTTTACCGGCAACAGAAGATGTACAAAGTGCCTTGAGTATCCTAATTACATAAAATGATAGAAGCAAGTTGAAGATTCCCTTGCCCGCTTCGAATCTTAGACTGTTGAGAAAGGGTTGTTCAAAACCAACAAATCAAGTATGAAATGAAAAAATGAAGATGGTGGCCGCACATAAGCCTGTGCGACCGCATGGACTATTTGGCCATGCAATAGTCCAAATCTTGGAGGCCGGCTTTGGTATAAACCATGCGACCATGATAGTAATTTTTGACCGTTGGAGGCCTTTTTTGAACTTTACAAAATTGATTTTGGTGGCGTTTCTTGTGTTTTTTGGTACCATTTTGTGTATATGTTCGAAGCCTATATATAGAGGAGCCATGTTCAAGGCAAAGAAATATTGAAAACACTTGAAATTCATTCCTCATTCCTCAACATAGATCAAATCTCGATTTACATTCATATTCATTTCTCTTATTGTGTTCTTCAAATTTTGGAGAATTTCATTTTGTGCTTTGGTGAAATTCTTTACAAAGCTTGTTATAATCTTTCAAGCCATTTGACGAAATACCCTTAAGCATCTCATAAAATACCGGAGAGGAGGCAAATAACGTTGGAGAACAGCGATCCCGCGTTTGAGCATTTGAAATTGTTTTTTTTTTTTGACAATTTCCTAATTTCTTCGTCTTGTTGCTGTCATTTTTGTGTTATTCTTTTTGTTTCTTCTCCGTCGCTCCAATATAATATTTCCAACATAGACTGCATCAGTTTTCCAGGTGAGTAACACAACTTAGGTGGGATGTAATATTACTGGAATAAAGAAAGCGAAAAGAGGCACAAAGCTTATGTCGGAGTGTGTGAAAGGGAAGGGCGGGCTGGTTTACACTATATTTAGCAGTCAATAGCGAATCAAATGCACAAGGATTAACTTTTCATTTTTTAATAATGTTCAAACCTTCGCAGACACGTATTTTCTCAGAGTATTAATCTAATAGCTATAGAACATAGTTGTAATTAAGATTAAGAAGTAATCATTGACCACTAAACTAACAGCTGTTTCCAGGTTACATCGTAGCAAGATTTTCAAAGTTTACTAAGGTGGGAAACAAATAAATAATCTAAATCAGTGATTAGAAAATGCAAAAGTTTAAAAAAAGTATTCATTACGGATCTTTCAAAAATATTTTTTATGGAAAAAGTTTCCAAGTCATTTAGGCGGGCAAATATAGGTTGTGAAAATCGAACAGTACAACGTTGTATAAAACTCGATTCACGGAATGATTTTTTCGAGGGAGGTCTATATGTCTACTGCTAGTTTTCTCGTTCTTTTCTCTATTTTTCATCTAATTATCCTTAGCTATGTTGATTCGAAATGCCAAGAGAGTTTCCAGTGTGGAAGCCTTGGGGTTTTGGAGTTTCATAAGAAATGTGTTACATGTAATACTATATAAATTATATAATAGTCAATAAATTGTGAAAAATCATCAATAGCAATGTCACACATTATGTAACATTTATAGCAACAAATATTTTAATAGATAATGCATCATATTTAACACATGAATGCAACTACAGATTTTGAATTATCATAAACTACTCGTCTTTTTTGTTTTTTATTCTTTTTTTCCGTATATCACATAGTCCATTATATT